ATAAATGGTAGAAATCCGAGTAAAATCCATAAACAGACATATATGGAAGCGACAACAACGGAATGCAAAAACTCGCAAGCGAGGGGAGTCGAACCATCAACCCCCACCCTCACTGTCCGATTGAGAATCCTCCACGCTATCCACTAGGCCATCCGATCGTTGTAGCTGAACACCACTCCGATCGTTGAAGAAACCATTCCGACAAGCCGCTCAGAGCCGCTCATTCTCAATCACGTGCCTCAAGTAAGACCCCATTCGCGACTATTTTCCTCCTCCATTCCTATAGTACCTTTATAAGGACCCTCCACTCAGCAACTGGTCGAAGTTGCAAGTGATTTAGAGCTCACAGAGGCTCAAAAACCACCGGTTTCCATAGATTTCTTTTTCACTCCTTTTTTGGTATTTCCAGAGGCGCGCAGGAAAAATGAACTGCATTTCTGTGAATCATGGACCCACCTCTATACCATGCAACAAACCGTTTTCAAAAAGCGCTCCACGTCCTGAACGACCTTCCTGGTAAGTGTCTCCAAGTCATCCCTTGCAGTGAACTGATACACAGACCTATGTACTTAGCGACATCTGTATACTTACATCTCTTAAATATTGACAGCTTTCTATCAGCAGCTTTTCTGCATCACCGGGTAATCGTGAAAGGTCCCGTATTGACATATGAGTAAATGTACAGGGGGGGGGCAAAAAAAGACACTTCGACCGAGTCACATATCAGCAAAGTTTTCGCAGCCCAGACAGAAGACGTGGATACGAGTACCAGGGCGGAAGATACCCAAGATGTTCCTCGATAAGCAGGAGCTGGCTCTCGCCCATCACCTTCATGTACACCAAAATATGAAGTCATCTCCAATCGCAGCCTGAACAAGAGCCTGACTGGAGAAGGCCTATGAAATTCGCGTCACCTCCAAACAACTGCGAAACTTCTAGTATGGAGTTACCCATGGATAGCTACCTGGAAGACCGGCGCTCTTGATCTAGAAAAAGCTTCAGCATCAGGCAGCTCTGACTATGTCGCTACAGTCCAGGATATCATTTTCACCGCAGTCGAACCAACTATTATCTCTCTGAACCCTAGGCAGCTTGAATCACATCTGGGTCGCATGGCAAGAATCCCATACTCATGTACAAAGGCTGTCCGTTGAGTATCAGAAATAGTGTACAATATATGCTGTTGAATGTGATGGTGGAAGTGTCCAATCAAAATTGAAGAAAGTGTAACTTATATCGCCTTGAAAGTTGAGTAAGATTACGGTGTCATACTATCCTGAAGCTGAGTCACGATCAGGACACGTTCTGTTTTTAGGGGAAAATTTCTGCGGAAGGCTACATTCCGTGAAATTTCGTCCTCGCGTCACACTTCTCCTCAGGCACACCCGACGCCCTCCGCCGCTTTCCACATCCCACATTTACTACCTCGTCCTCATTTCCCCACCTTCCTCCCACTTTTTTCCTGCAAGTTCAAGTTCCGCCAAAAAGCTGAAGTAAGTGGGAATTGCGCAATCAAAACAAGAAGACCCGGGAAATACGACCTCCTTCCATCCAACGCGCAAATGCGACCCCCTCGCTGAGAATCACCATTGTATGACGATTGCCCTGGTTTTAATTGAAAAGCAAGCGCTATCTGTGCAGGAGCTACTAGAACAGAAAACGATGTTAATATCCACGGATATTTTCTTTTTACCGTAATAACGGTATTTAGCCCTTTGAATCAATGCCTGTTATCATTCCATGCGAAAGGAAACTCTCTAAAAAGAGAAATAAGTTTTGTAAGTATCAACACTAGCTTGATAATGGATCTTGCGTAAATATTTTCCACTGGATCTACCGCCTTCGGCAGGAGTATGGTTCATAGCATTCAATCAGTACTCATCCTCACCTTCACCGGTAAGCTCATCTTCTCCAGATACCCCGGACGTCTACCCAGTTGGTGAGCGACGTCAAGCAGGAGCCGCGGGATGCCCTGGAATCCATTAATGGGAGGGCGTATTCAGGGCTATAGGACTGACTTGGGTTACTTCCAGAAGCCCTGGTTTGGTTATGCAAACATGGTTCTTTGAATGCGCTTCTCGCCATTAGCCGATCGGGAAAAGACGCGTTCGAAGCTTCCAACTGACACGTGTCGTCGACGTGGCTATAAAAGCTGAAATCAGGGGCGAAAGGGTCATTTGGCACCTTTGAGTTTCACCGGTAGACGTCTTCAGGTGGTGAGTGCTGCTCGACTTCACCTTTTTGACCCCAACCCTTCTATTTCCCTATTCAGATACATTAGCTGTATCTAACACTCTCGCTTGTATCTCTCACAGCTCGTCTATTTGCAATAATGGTCAGTCCTGCACTTGTACTCGTTACAGCTGAGAAGTCGTATAACGGGCTGATACAAATTTCAGGTACCAACTAAAGGATCTGACCAAGGGGAGGAAGTATCGAATGGTGATTCAGCAAGACTTTCTGGTTCCGATTCTCACAGGAATGAGGTCAGGAGACATTTTGGTTTCTAATTGCTGTTTGCTCGCAAAACCTGGGTATTTCAGAGTCTGTCGAGCGAAGAAGTGGTGAAGAAGATATGCTTCTCGAGCGGATGCGACGTTGGCTCTCATCCCATCTCCGGAGATGTTGCCGTGCCCGATCAGGAATATCTCGACCAGCTCATTCGAGACAAGGGCGACCTGCGTTCAGTGCATGCGGCTCCTTTCCGTCATCTTACTAGACTCATCGATAGAGGTGTGACATTGAATAAGGTCTTGTATTTTCGTCCAGGAGCCCATATCGTCGTTGGCTGAGACTTCTAGAAAGGGAATTATTAGATAATATGATTACCAGTCTGCTCTCTTAGCCATGGTCAGTACTTCATGGTGTGTGTGTATTCAGCGGTTGCGACCGTAAGCTCATTCCAGTCCTTCAATCAAGCAGGAGAAGTTGGATAAGCTCTTGATAGTGGTATCTAATCGCTTTCGGGGAGTAGTTCATACTCTGCTTGTCCAATCGCTGACTCACTCTCTAGGGTCTGGAAATTGTAATCCCAGTAAATCGATAATCGATCGATTTCCTGTTCCGTCTAAAACGCAAAACCACTGACCTAATCGATGCGTATTCGCTGGTTTTGGGTGATAATCAGATGGACAAGCTGCGAACAGCACAGCACAAATCCCAGCAGGAGAGTGCAGATACTTAGCGCGAAAGATCGGAGAATCTGAAGAATGGACGAACTGGATAATCGGAAGAACGGGAACCCGAGAAGAGAATATTGACCGCATTGTCCAATCGAAGAGTCGATGTGGATACCAGCAAATCATTGGTTGCTGATGATGATAACTGAACATTGGTGACGAAATATGAATTATGTTGCTGAGCTCAGCCAAAACTGTTTATACTAATCCTCTTAGTGGGTTCTCTGACTCTCCCAGAATGCCCACACATAACGCCCCATGCTGAACCGCGATCGAGGCAAATAAGAGCGTGGTCGGATGAGTCCTCATCTTGATATCAGCTCTTTCTCCTTATCATCATCTGAAACTGAGAACGCTAGTGGCGGAACAACCGCACCACCAACAAGCCCTTAGAAATGAAAGTTGGGTGCTGCCTTAGCCTGCGTTCTTGCGTGCGACGTCGCTCATCACGTAACGACAAAACGCACGTTAAACGAACGTTTTCTGCGCCCTGGACGAATATGTGTTGATCTCGACGAAGGCGACGTAACCAGACGTTCTCGGCGACTGAAAGACTAGATAACGTATCAATCCACGTGTCGACGTAATGACGTAACCGACGACAGAAGATTAGATACTTATCGACTGATGTCGAAAACGTCGGTTTCGTCGGATCGATACGTATATAATCTTCGCGAACTAGTCGCCGAAAACGTCGGTTACGTCGACGTTGACGACGACGTCGCACGGTATGAACGCAGCTTAGCAGTGAGCGGGACGTCGCCCTCGTCGCGAGCGGACACCGCTTTCCTCACGTATTTTTATGCCTGTGAAACTTTCTCTGTGGTTGAGGACAAGACCACAAAAGTTCGAAGAAGGTGTCTCAACATGAAGTGAACGCACGCCGCGCACATATAGTGTACTTCGCTGCGGACGGTGGGCGTGTCAGGCGGGATGAGTTGGCGCGGTGCCAAACCCGTTCTCCACCAGTTGTTAAAGCGAGCAAGTGATATGACTGTATCATATCGTTCGTATTACTCGTTTTCTACCACTTTTTGTCGCATGCGCGCTTCAACAAGAAGGCAGAGAACGGCTTTGACGGGGTGACACACTCATACTGCCTGACACGCCCAACCGTCCGTCTGCAGCGAACTGGAGTGTAACTCGTGAGTTACGGTGTATAAATACGAATGTGAAGGTGTTAAGAAACTCAACAGTAAAGAAAAGAGGAAAGCTTCTCGAAGGAGGTGCTCCAATTAGAAAGCTATTGGTTTTGAACATGAGAGCGTTCGACCAAGAGACATTGAGCCTGCAAAAGAGAAATAGACAACAAAATTCGAAAGAGAGTATACGGGCGAGCGAGATTAGCCGAAGAGTTGGAGAAGCCGGAGAATCAGATCACGATGAGGGTTCCCAGATAAATGGTAAGGGCGCGTTCATACCCCACGAAATTCTAAAATCGATGCATCGGCGAACCGCAGAATTTGGAGAGTAGGACAAAACGCGGCGGAAAGGGGTGTGGAGACATGGAACTAGAGAATCGCGGAGTTGACGATTCTCCTGCATATTTAGTCCATCCCTGCGTATTGTCCCATTCGCCTAATTCCGCGGTTCGGCGATTCAAGGCCTCATCATTCTACGGCTACGCCAATAGGCCTGATTCGCGACACGTATATTCTCCAAATCAACGCTTATGCTTTCTTTTACCTATGCAAAAGGTCAAAAAAGTAAAGTCTGTCGCCATAGTAAAAGAGAAACATTTTTGGAACCTTCACGAGCAACTGAGAACTATGAAAGTTGGTACTAACATCCACCCATTGGCGAAAGGACGGGCTCGAGAGCGAAGGACGTTGAGCACTTCAGGTGCGTGAAAGACTCGAACGGAGAGCGACTGCACAGTAGACGAAAGAACTGGAGATTTCAAGCAAGAATTTCGCACATCCACTGACTTCAGAAGGTCCGTTAAACGCCAGTCCAGTTCAGTGTAACTAAGTCGAAGAGGTAACCAAGGCGATCAACAGCTTGAAGAACTAAAAGCGCCAGAGCCAGACAAGACACCGGTAGAGGTCTGGAAAAGGAGTTCAGACAAAGTGACTCACACAGTTTCTCAATGCCGTCCTTGATTCAGACCATGCACCCAGTGAACGGGCTATGAGTATTCACTGTAACATTCT